ATAAATAAATAAATAAATAAATAAATAAATAAATAAATAAATAAATACATAAATAAATAAATAAATAAATAAATAAATAAATAAATAGGCTGATACACAGAGAGACCATTGTAATGCAAAATACGTCACAATTTACATGATCAGACTGATAAATATATTGGTCAGCTGATGGCCTATGGATACACGGAAATAAACACAAATGAGGGATGTAAAACAAGAGATTGTTTAGTTTGATAAACCAATCTTATCTTCATTTACTGTACGTGAACACGGCACATGCATTGATTATCGCGAGCATGTGCCTTATCTTGCTTTTTATCCAACTCCTTTCTTGTCTATTATCAGGGGTCAGGGGTAAGGAGTCCTGGTCATCCTTGAACATTCAGCTTTTGAAATACTTCATTGTCTTCTAATGAATTCTGTCAGTGAACGTCTAAAACCTGTAAAAGCATGTTTTGCCCATCCTTAGACCTTCAGAAATTGTGTTGTATCATAGACGAAGGCATCTTTTACAGGCCAGGGACGATGTTCATTTTTAAATATTGTAACTTTACACAAAGAGACAATTTTAATCCCTTCATGCGTGAAGTACGATCATTTGATTAAAAAAAAACTTTCTTAAGGCATAAAAATACTTTTTTTTGGTAAAAAGCATGTTTATTCAAGGATTTTTCCAGATTTCCACTCACTGGGGAGCGTATGTTTTAAGATTTCTTACTAATAAAAGTGAACATATTTTGACATTTGTTAACAGAATCCCAAAACATAGAACTTTGCATACAACTCTCATCCCGTTCTACTGTTATTTACTATCTCTTCCTTTTTCTCATTCCCACTCATTCAACCCCTTTATCTATTCATTTAGGGTTTATCTCAGCTCCTCTTCAACAGTATATTACTGTGGACATTTATTTTTCATTTTTAATGCATGATGTACCAGAATGGGCATTAAAAACACAGAAACCCATAAATACACAAGAAAATAGCTCTTCAAAAGCTGTCCAATCTCTGTTTCCACATTAGCTCTACCTTACTTTTCTCCAAGGTGTGACGAATATGAAGAAATCGAGCTAAAGATGGGATCCTTTGTGTCGTATATTGGCAAATTATTTGGAGGAGAGAAAAGAAAAGGTGAGCTTCAACTGACACAAAATTGAGGAAGATTTGTACAATTTAGATGCAGTTTTAAATGCAGTGGTTAGAGTACATCTGTGTTAACTTGACATAGCCTCTACTTTGCCTTCAAATGACACCCCCCCCTTTTTACAGAGCTTGAGAGACACCTGCGAGCTAATGACAGACATTTCAACCTGTCCTACCGCTATGCTGTGAGTTCACACTACTGCATTTGTACCAGATCTCCCAACTGTTGAGTTAGTTAGAATTGGAGTATTGCATGCGTTATGTGCCTTCAAAAACCTCATTAAACTCATTAATGGAATCTTGCACTTGTTTTCAGAAAAATGCCATCAAAACCTCGAAATACAACATTTTGACTTTTCTGCCACTTAACCTGTTTGAGCAGTTCACCAGACTTGCAAATGCCTACTTCCTCTTCCTTATAATCATCCAGGTAAGCATGCCATAAGACTTATATTTTAATTTATGTTTGTTTTTTTGTTGTTGGTTTTCGTAGTTAAACATTTTATCATCAACTTGATCTAAATGCTTTTTCCACACGAATGTTAGCTCTCAGCTTCCAGGAAGTTTCCTCATAATGTTTGCATTTATGTGTTAACAGCTATTTCCCGAAATATCCGCCCTCCCTTGGTACACCACGGCTGTGCCTTTGGCTTTGGTGCTGTCCGTATCAGGGGTCAAAGATGCAATCGACGACATAGTAAGACGGCATCATTCAAATGACACACAGAGACTCAACCCGCTCCGTAAGTCACATGTGAGAAAACAGCGTTTCCCTTCTGTCCACTGTGCAGAACAGACACAAATGCGACAAGCAAGTGAACAACCGCACCGTGGATGTCCTCATCAATGGACAGTGAGTCATTACACACACTAACATCACACTCATGGGGGGAAAAAAAGATAATATGTGCACCTTTTGTCCAACAAAAAGCTGACATAACTAGAGGTACTAAGTAGAAACCACTCACATTCATTTTCAATATTAAATAAATGATTGACTGAGCATTACTGGGTGATTCACAGGGTAAGAACAAAGAGCACTTAAGAGAGCCAGAGTCTTTCTCAGACTTTTAGAAGTCAAGAGGGGCAAAATGTCTGCAAATTGCCTTGTCCACAAACAGTGGAGCAATCGGTAGACATTTATCTGAACAAAGGACATAGCAAAAATCATTATTGTATGGAGGTTTGAACTTAACAAAGCCCTGCATTAAAAAAAATTAAAAGTTATTATTCTGCCATGGGAGTAGCTGCACGGGTACCAAAAAATCTCTTTGGAAATTATTCCCAATCACAGGCATAATGTCTTTCAGAAAAAAAATTAAGAGAACCAGTTAGAAAAAAAAAACTTATTTTACATTTATTTTTAAGTTAATATGCAGCAGATTTTGTTGGACATGTTTTCCTTCTTCCTCTACAGACTTAAAAAAGAAAAATGGCTGAATGTTCAAGTCGGGGACATCATCAAACTGGAGAACAATCAGTTTGTGGCAGTGAGTGTGTCTTTAAACTTTTAAAAGTATGGGAGTGATGACCCAATTCAAAGTTCCCTCGCGTGGTACTTTCCGTTTCTCTTAGTGTCTCTTATGTCTTCCGCTCTCTTCCCATCTGTCAGGCGGACGTCCTGCTGCTGTCCAGCAGCGAGCCTCTTAATCTGGTCTACGTGGAGACCACTGAGTTGGACGGGTGAGCATGTGCTGTCTACTTAGAAACACAGAATCTCGCATTTCCCTTCAGTCATATCCTACTTATGTCTCCTGGTGAACCCCCAGTGAAACCAATCTGAAAGTGAAACAGGCCACCACTGTGACGGGAAAGATGGGATTCAACATCGAAGCGCTTGCTCGATTCAACGGTGAGAACCTGAAGAAATATCACAATTTTGTTCACAATCACTCAGAAGATTAAACTTTTTCTAAATTTGTGGACTCTACAACACTGAAGTTTAGAGTTATTATTATTCAACCCAAAGATGATGTAAATGCAATCCATTTTAAACTAGTGAGGTCAACTATATAGAGTGGACTCAAGATTCAAAGACCAAAATGAGCATCAAATCTCCAGTAAGTTCATTGTTGTGAACCTTAAAAATAACCTTAAAACTAGGTGAATCCAATTAGTTTTGAAGTCCAATGACTCTTGTCGTATACAAAGTACCCTTTGAAATCAAGGGCTGAGTTGCTTCCTTTTAAACCTCCAGTTTTCGATCTCAGCAGAATCACTGATCCTGTTTTTTTGGCCTCTTCCATATGACAGTAATTCCTGTTAAATCCTGTCCTTGAGCAGGTTTAGAGACGTTGGTCTTGAAGCCGAATAACCAATCTGCCAACGCTAAACGCTAAAGAAAAACAATTGAATCGCTTTAAAAGTGCTCTCACTAAAAACGAATGCTAACTGTTTGAAAGATTTTTTTTATTTATTTGATCCTACATTTAATGGGAGTTGTATATTAGTTTTCGTTAACAAAGAGCCATTAGAGTTCACTCAAATGAAACACTGCTCTTTGCCATGAAGCTGCTTTGGGAAAACAGACTCCACCAACACTAACATCTTTAACTCTGCTCACACTCAACTGTGTTTCTCAGCTGAGGTGCGATGTGAGCCTCCCAACAACCGTCTGGACAAGTTCAAAGGGACTCTGATACTGGACGGAGAGGTCCACAGCCTGGACAACGACAAGGTGCTGCTCAGAGGCTGCGCTCTGAGGAACACGGACTGGTGCTTCGGACTGGTCATCTTTGCAGGTAAATGGCCACTGTGTGGGTTCCAGCCGTGTCTCTGACTTGTACTAAGAAAGGTTCTACTGGCATTGCGGATTGTGGTGATCATTCGGCTGTGCGCATGAAGAGGCGCTGGCTGACCGACTGACCGGCTGACTGGCCGGTTAATGAGCAGATGACACAATGAACACAATGTCCATTGACATTTGTTTTATGGGCGAAACCATTCTTACTTTTAAAAATATTGCTTTAGGTCAACCTTTTTGCTCCACAGTAACTCTGAAGTCGAAGCTTGTGGCTATTTTGAATATTAATTATTACTAATATATCTAATTGATATTTAACAAATCCATGCAGAAGCTTTTACCACATGTAGAAATAGATACCAATAAGTTTGACCTTTTCCAAAAAAAGAATCCCTAACACAGTAGTCGGTGGGCGAGGTACACCCTGAGAACATGCAAACTCCTCACAGAAGGGTCCAGGTTCCCCCGGGGACTCGGACCCAGAACCCTCTTGCTGTGACGCGATGGTGCTAACCACCACACTACCAGGCTGCTTGTTTAAGACATTTTTGATGAAAATCACTAACCATAATTCACAATTCAACAAAGATTGAACTGGTTCTTGTCAATGGAACGACTGATATAATCTTATTTATTTATATACTATATTACAATATTTTACTTACTAAGCTGCTTTTTATTGACTTAATGCCAATGGCATCTTCATAGTCATGCTAGTTTTCCCGCTTTTGGTTAATCTCTTTTTAATTATATTATTCATCTATTTGAACCTTTTGGTCTCTTATTATTTTGATCTTGATTTTAATATTCAACACAAGTTGCCACACATTACTTTTCTCATTCCATGTCCTGAAACTGAAATGTCACTGAATGCTCTCAGGTCCAGACACCAAACTGATGCAGAACAGCGGAAGGTCGACATTCAAACGGACCAGCGTTGATCACTTCATGAATATCCTGGTGTTGTGTGTGAGTTTCTTTGCACATGAATACTTCGAAAAGAAGTACTTAACAACTCATTTGTTTTCTGATAACATAGAATTTTAAAAATGTTTTTGTGTTTCTTAATAATGGAAGTATGTTTTATGTTTCTCAGATGAAATTGTTTCAGTGTTATGATTTCAATTAAAACGATGCCTATCTTCTTAGATCTTTGGTCTCCTGATGGCTATGTGTCTCATTCTGGCCATCGGCCATGCGATCTGGGAGACGAAGGCAGGCTCTGTGTTCCAGGTGTTTCTACCTCCTATTCCAGGTGTTGGCATTGGTCTCTCGTCCTTCCTCTCCTTCTGGTCCTACGTTATAGTCCTCAACATGGTGGTTCCCATTTCTCTCTATGTCAGGTACATTTTCAGTTAAAACATTTTTTTTGTAGTTCAGAGGGCAGTGACGGTTCTTTTGAAAATTTGACAATTGTTTCTGCCTGTGCTTCCGTGTCAGTGTGGAAATGATCCGTTTGGGGAACAGCTTCTTTATAGACTGGGACAGGAAGATGTATTACTCTAAGAATGACACCCCTGCCCAGGCGAGGACCACCTCTCTCAACGAGGAGCTGGGCCAGATTAAATACATCTTCAGTGACAAGACAGGCACCCTGACGCAGAACATCATGACTTTTAACAAGTGTTCCATCAATGGCAAAGCCTATGGTGAACAGCTTTATTCGGTATTAAAAAGTACAGACTTCATTTTATTGGTGAAATTACTGATTCTGATCTCTAATCTCCTTTATCCAGGGGAGCTTTATGACTTCACTGGACAAAGAGTGGAAATAACAGAGGTCCGAGTAGAAACTTATGACTAATTTTTTGTTTATTTTCAATGAATTGCTACTGGTAATTTACTCTTATTTCTATTGGTTGTAGACAACAGAGAGGCTGGACTTCTCCTGGAATCAGCTGGCAGATCCAAAGTTCATCTTTCACGATCACAGTCTGATGGAGACGGTGAGAGAAGGAAACCCGGAGGCTCAGGCCTTCTTCCGCCTGCTGGCCTTGTGTCACACTGTCATGCCTGAGGAAAAGACAGAGGGTGAGGATCCTCCACTCATCCACTTTCCTACTACATGGCAGGGGGATAAGCAGGAGAACCACCACACAGCTCATGTTTGGACTGGTGACTCCATGGGTTTAAAATGACTGTGTAAAATCTTAAAGCACATTAGCTATTAATGTTATTTTAAATATTCAGACGCATAGAGAGTACAAAATAGTGTTTTTTCACGTTTTGTGTGTTGCATTAATGTTTATGTTTATGTTTATGCATTTGGCAGACGCTTTTATCCAAAGCGACTTACAGAGTAGACACAATATTACATTTCTCATCACTATGACAATAAGCTATATAGAGGAGAAACACTGATCAGAGTCAGTGGTGAGATAGAGATAGAGGTAGAGGGACTACAGAAGGAGCTGTGGGGGGTAGAGGTACGGGTTAGGGTTAGGATAGGAGATGCTCTTTGAAGAGGTGGGTCTTCAAGAGTTTCTTGAAGACAGACAGGGACTCTGCTGTTCTTGTGGAGCTTGGTAGGTCGTTCCACCATCTTGGAACGACACATGCAAACAGTCTGGATTGTCTTAAGCGTGGTGAAGGCACTGCTAGACGACAATCCATTGATGACCGGAGTGATCGAGTTGTGACATAAGCCTTTGCAAGGGGATTCAAGTAGATGGGAGCCATACCCTTAAGCACTTTGTAGGCTAGCATCAGGGACTTGAATTTGATACCTCTCCTTGTCCTCTCTGCTAGGGGAGCTCAACTACCAGGCTCAGTCTCCTGATGAGGGAGCTCTGGTGACCGCAGCCAGGAACTTTGGTTTTGTGTTCCGCTCTCGCACACCAGAGAGCATCACGGTCATGGAGATGGGCAGGAAGGTTGTCTATGACCTGGTGGCCATTCTGGACTTCAATAATGTGCGGAAAAGGATGTCAGTAATAGGTAACAGTAACAGAAAAGCACTAACACAATGGGACCTTTTCCATGTCAATCAGAGGCCATACCTGATCATTTCCTTAAGGTCTGGTTTTGTGCTTTTTATTTCTGCCTTTAATCATAGATGCAACATAGTTAACTCTAGAAAAAGTTCATCATGTCTGCCTAGACTAAGCAGCTTTTTTTTTTTAAATGAATTGAGGAAAAAGAGCATGTTCATGTCATGTTTTCCTCCACATGTGAATCTAACATTGTTACTTTCTCTGTGGTTTCCAGTGCGCAGCCCTGAGGGAAAGTTGACTCTGTACTGCAAAGGAGCCGACACCATCATCTATGAAAGACTACACCCCTCATGTGACAAACTGATGGAGGTCACCACCAGGCACCTCAATGTGAGCAAAGCCCTTTTCATGTGTTTGCGTAAATATTGAGTAACTCTCAATGTTTTAACAAGATTCTAATCATCAACCCAAATAGGAATATGCAGGTGACGGCCTCCGTACGCTGGTTCTGGCCTACAAGGAGTTGGATGAGAGCTACCTGAAGGAGTGGAGACAGCGCCACCATGAGGCCAGCATCGCTTTGGACGGACGAGAGGAGAGACTGGACCAGATTTATGAAGACATCGAGAAAGATCTCATTGTTAGTGCACCCGCTGAAAGGCGTAGAGTTCCTTAACAGGCCGTGTTAGCTTGCTAACAGCAAACATTAATGATGGATATCTGCAAGCATGGCTTTGATAAACCAGGGTTATTTTATTGTTGTGCGTGTGTTAAAGCAGAAGGTCAGTTTAGCATCGTTTCTCTTGAACTCCTCTTTTCACCTCCGCTTTCCAGCTGTTGGGAGCCACAGCTGTGGAGGACAAGCTGCAAGATGGCGTGCCACAGACCATTGAGCAACTGGCCAAAGCTGACATGAAGATCTGGGTGTTGACTGGAGATAAACAAGGTTGATTTCACCGTCTGTTAACACACAAGTCAAACACCACACACAATGTTCTTGGTCCAGACGGTGAGCACAGTCACACAACAAGAGTGCCACCGACCATTTGAACTGTTCCTCACCGTCATCGTCACTGTCTTGATACAGAGACGGCAGAAAACATCGGCTATTCTTGCAACATGCTGAGAGAAGAGATGAGCGAGGTTTTCATCGTGGCAGCCAATACAGCCCAAGGTGTCAAAGAGGAGCTCCAGTAAGTCTGTGTACAGTCACTTGTATATTTGCAACAGGAATTGAGGAGTTGATTAACTTTTATTGCTTTACTTTCATATTTTGGATGAAAAAAGTTTATTTAAATTGATGTGAATTATCAGTTTGAGTCAATTTTGAGTTTTTTTTCTTCCTCTGTTCAGGTATGCGAGAAGAAAAATGTCTCCAGACTCGGCGGAGGAGCCCTCTGTGGTCAGGGCTCGAGCCGGTATGTTTTGGCTTCAGAAGACGGAGACGCTGCAGGACGAGAACGTGGACGGAGACTATGCCCTGATCATAAACGGACACAGCTTGGTGAGTAGCTTTTTCTCATGGACGCTGCATTTGCCACATAAGTTCTTTTGTGCATTGTTTTTGTTTAGTTCCTCTCACAAAGAAAAGAAACATTTAGACGTATGCAAGTTTAATGCAATAATCTTCTCAGGATTTACCTGAGTGACGATCTTGTCTTCACACAACTATACACACATATGCACACAATATAATATTTGATATATTCTTCCCTTGTACCTCCAGGCGTTTGCGCTGGAGAAGGAGCTGCAGCTGGAGCTGCTGAGGACGGCGTGCATGTGTCAGACGGTGATCTGCTGCAGGGTCACCCCTCTGCAGAAAGCCCAGGTGGTCCAGCTGGTCAAGAAATACAAGCAGGCCATCACTCTGGCCATTGGGGACGGAGCCAACGACGTCAGCATGATCAAAGGTGAACCTGATCGGATTCTCAGAGCTTTCGGTTCAGCCAAACATCTTCTTTTAGTCAGTGATTTAGTCTGTCTTGACTAATTTTTTCCATTTTTCAGCCGCTCACATCGGTGTAGGAATCAGCGGTCAGGAGGGCATGCAGGCAGTTCTGTCCAGCGACTTCTCCATTGCACAGTTCCGGTACCTCCAGCGGCTCCTGCTGGTGCACGGCCGCTGGTCCTACCTGCGCATGTGCAAGTTCCTCCGTTACTTCTTTTACAAGAACTTCACCTTTGCTTTTGCTCTCTTCTGGTACGCCTTCTTCTGCGGCTTCTCTGGGCAGGTGAATGACATGTATTCGTTTTTTCAAACGTCCCTGTCTCTGCAGTCTTCTAATGACCAAGGGGGCCAGCAGACTGGACATTTACTCATGGTGTTTTTTTTGTTTTTGTTAGATTGTGTATGATGATTGGTTCATCACTCTGTTCAACCTGGTGTACACGGCTCTTCCTGTCCTTGGCTTGGGCCTTTTTGACCAGGTATTCCCAAAGCGGAAACAACATCCTGTAAAAAAAAAAAGCAAACGTTCCTCTTGAGGCTTGGTTCTCATCTTTCTTTCCGAATCCTCTCCGCGCAGGATGTGAGTGACCGCTGGAGCCTCCAGTATCCTCAGCTCTTCTCCCCGGGCCAGCTGAACGCGTATTTTGACAAGAAGGTGTTTTTGAGCTGCATGATGCACAGCTGGTACAGCTCGGTCATCCTTTTCTTCGTCCCGTGGGCCGCAATGCAGGACGCAGTCAGAGAGGACGGCCGAGACGCAGCAGACTTTCAGACCTTTGCCATAATGGGGCAGACTTGTCTGTTTCTGGTGGTGAGCATACAGGTGAGAACTGCTGGCCGATTTGAATACACAATATAAGTAAAGACCATTAAGCTGTTCAGCTGTGTTTAGTTATTAGTGTGGCCTTTTAATGCATTGAAGTAAACTTAGTGTATATATACTCTGTATACATTATACGTACTATACAGAAACTACTGTATCTAACACACTTAATCTACCTACACTAATCCCTAAGTACACCATGGCTGAATATGAATAAAATCTAACTCATCATCTCTAACCTACTTTTTGTTTTCCAGTTGTGTCTTGAAAGCTACTACTGGACATTTATTAACCAGTTTTTTATTTGGGGAAGCATTGCCGTCTACTTTGCCGTGTCGTTCATAATGAACTGCAATGGAATATTCATCATGTTCAACTCCATGTTCCCTTTCATCGGTAAGTAGATTTAGCGTTCACGCGAAAGAAAACAAGACCTGGTTCTGATAAAAATTATTTGTGGATCTCCAGCATTTATAGTCACTCTCTATCAATTATGGTCACAAGTAAACGGTTCAGAGACATTTCCAATGAGAGGATGTGCGTTCTCCATTAAGATGATAAAGTGACTGAGCTGTTTGCTTGTTTGCTTTCATGGACACCACAGTTTGTGATTGGTAGAGTATTCACTCTCTTTTTAATTCATTCATTTTTAGACCAGCCACTAGATGTCAGCACAATGTAAACAATGTTTCCAACAAGCCAAGTTGCACTGCATGTCCATTTATTGATCTCATTGCCCAATTTTTATTTCTTTGCTGTATGTAAAGGATCCACAATAAGATATAACATTATAAAGCTGAGTTTTTGTAAACTTTTTTGTTTGTTTGTTTGTTTGTTACATTTCAGGCGCCGCCAGAAATTCCTTAAGTCAGCCATCCGCGTGGCTGACCATGTTCCTGACTTGCCTCCTGTGCCTTCTGCCTGTGGTGGCTGTCCGCTTTTTCCTCATGCAGATTCGTCCCACTATCAATGATAAGGTGAGTGCACACATGAGGCGGAACAGAATGACACAACTAGGCTATCAACATGTTTTTAGTTCTATAAAAGAGAAAAATCCCCTTTTGAGACGTGCTCAGTGTAAGCCTCGTCCATCTTGTTCTGGTCTAGGTGAGACATAAGGTGCGAAAAGAAGGGCCTCCAGCACCCGCTCCTCTCCATCAACGGCCCAGACGCTTCAGCACCCGCCGCTCCAGCTACGCCTTCTCCCACTCCCGGGGCTACGGCGAGCTTGTGACTTCTCGAGGGTTCCTGCCGAAGCGATCCCTGAAAAGTCGACCGGCCCTCTTCCTCAACACGGACCCCCCGCTCGCCGAGAAACAGCCGCAGCTATACCGCACCATCAGCGAGGAGCCGGAGGAGCCGCAGGGGCCACAGGCACGGATGTAGACCCTCAAACTTTCCAGGGATCACTTAGTCTTAGCTCCGACTCCCAGATCAAAATGAGAGAAAGTAGCATTTTCCGATCAAACTTACATACTTGAAAATAAGTGCAATGAATGAGTGATGACAATGAGGGGGTGGAAAAGTTGAGTTTACAAAATACGCAGCCCGGAATGACCAAACTGGCGGTTTTGCACATTTTCCTATCCAGGAGTGTCCATTACTGCTGACAAGCATACATACTAAGAGGTTTTAGAAATAGATTTTCTATCCTGGTTTTGGTGAAATCAAGAACTTTGATAGGTTTTTGGGGTTAGCTTGTTAGATGACAATCAGTTGAACATTAAGCTTTTTCAATTATGTCATTGTGTCATGAATCCAAAAGTATTTAACAGTATCAAAATATTAAATATACATGTATATATATTTATTGTCTATTTTTAATGAAAATGTGATAATATATTGATAAGAATAACTTGAATGAAAAATATTAGACTAGCTGATTAAATTCTCTGTACACATCTTTTTACACAGACTCAAAAAAAGTCTAGACAGGCTAACATGCTCTAACAGAGTGTTCATGTAGGTGAGAAATAAGATAAATTGAGCACGAAGGGTCTGTCTCTTTGTGCACTTTACTCTAATAAGCTACAACTTACGACAGCAAGGAGGTACAACTCATTTGACTTTTTTTAGCAAAAGCAATCAACACCAAAACTGATGATATTTGTGTCGTGAAAATGTAAGACTCAAGATTTCTTGCGAACTTCTGAGTTGAATAAAAGAGAAGTTCAACCATCCACTTCAAGATTTCAATTTTTTTAAACCACCTCTTTTATTTTTGGTAAATCTTCAAGTGAATGTTTCTAGGTTTTTGGTCCTTTCCAAGTATGAAATACATCATATCATTGGCTGCTTCTGTTTATGCAATATCATACAGTTCATTTATTTATTCCACAGCCCTCACGTTTTAGACAGTAGACACTAAACATATAGCACTAAAGGTCTCAGTCAGGGGAATAAGCGGTGTTGATAATGGATGGATGGATGGGTCTCAGTCAGTTTGCTCACAGTTACCTCATATTTTGACTAGAAACCACTCTAAACTCTCTATGTCGCTGTTTCGTAATACGTTTTTTTTTTCTTTAACCTCTCTTGAAACGGCCTGCTTTTGTTATGAAATGCCTTGAATAAAAATGAATATTTAGCCAGCAGACGGAGAGGCTGTTATGCTGCACTGTTCAGCTGGAGCTCAAACGCTGTCAAGATTCTCTGTCCTTTCCCTTTGCTCACAGTCAGACTGAAAACGAGTAAGTGCAACAGCTTGTCACTGTAGGTGAAGCCATGGAAGAGGAAAACTTGGACAGCGCTATGACTTATTTATTTATTCATATATTCATATATTACCTGACCCCTGGAATTACCTTAAGCAGCTGATGACAGGCCAGGTCAGCCCTCAGTCGCTGAGCAAGCCCGGCGATCGATTTGACCGAGGCCTGTGCAAAATACTTACAAAACACACTTTTCCAGATTTGAAACACTTTATTGATGGGATTCCCCTAAACTTTTACCTGCATTGATCATCTGTTTTTTTCCTTGCAGTTTATAAGCCAAAATAATGCGAAAAAAATTGGATGCACTCTACTTTTAAACCATGCCTTCCTGAATAACTGTGTATTTTTCTATGTTTTGTGCTAGCAGGGCATCCTTACATGGATTATTCTGCAGATTTAACATGTTGTTTTGAGAAAACTGTGGCAATGGACGCGATTTACAGCTCAGTCAAACCTGTTATCGTCCACATGCTGTGTACTGACAGTTGTGTCTGCATGCTTGAGGAAAATTAACAGACAATATGCTGTCAGTTATGAGCCATTAATGTTTCACATTCAGTGTGTGAAAAATGCTAACTGACAAATAGTTATGGAAAGGATCGAGATCGAGGGCTATGTTCATAAATATTTTTGAAAATGATGTTTGTGTTGATCTCCTACAATTTTGTGAGTGTTTGATTTATTTTTCTGTTCATGGAACACAGAAAGAGTTCAATATAGCTGTCTTTCTAACCATGTTGTTAACGTCTCAGAACCCTTCATGCAAAAGCTTTAGTGTCCTGCACTGTATCTCTGTATTAAGGTTTCTTGATAGATATGTAGTAACTCCATCTTGTCTAGTTCATTGGGAACTGTAATGCATGTAATGTATGTTATATCTTTGTTTTCAGCCATCTTTAGTTTATGTCATATATATTTTCATATTGTGTCATTTGAATCTAAAGGCGCATATAATTCTATTTCCTAAAGCATTTATTTACTTAAAACAAAACCACTGGATTTATAGGTTGTATGAAATGGGCAAGAGTCATTTTTAGAGTCAGAGTCAGAATCTGTTTGAAAAACGAAAAGTAAAAAAAAGAAAAATGTCTTTGCTAGTGGTAAATATTTCAAAACCCGACTTTATATGGAAAAAACCTTGATAGAGGCCCCCGCGGGGTCTTTTTTGCATTATGTATGCTGCTGAGAGCACTTTTCCTGTATTTTCCCCCGGTCCTGGGCTGCCCTGGCTCTCACATATGCTGCACTGTGCGTTTGCAGGCCGGCTCATAACTGCATTCGGGCCCGCAGCTGCAGTGTCCTACGTGACAGCGGGTGATGACATCATTGATAGAGGCAGTCCCACTCGGGCACGGATCCAGAGGAGCTTTCACTTGCTCTCTCCTCCACCGGATCAGAGGCTGTATATCACCCTTTATGGCCCGCATGATTCATAATTAAGCAACTCGGCCAGATGCCACTTAACGGGCGAAGGAAGCTGTCTTTAAACACGAGAAAAATCCCAGCGTATAGTTTGATTAAAAATAAGTGACTGAAAAGCTTGGAAAAGGGTCACGATCCTCAACAGGTATATGAAACAATCATATAAAAAAGATGGCTTGTTGTGTAGTATTTTGGTAACACAATGGCTCAAAAGGGATCCCTTCTCTCCACTTTAACCCCTCGCTCAATGCTTCTTCCCTTCTGGCCGAGCAGCACAGTCAGCAGGTTTGACGGTCTCCAGTGAAGGTCAGTGCCTGATCCCACCGTATGGAATGGGAACGAGAACCGGCATGCCGCATAAATAGCCTCCAGCGTGTGCACGCCCTCGCTCTGACAGAGCACATCCAACACAATCCCGGGAACAAAACCAGAGCGCTGCGCCAAAAAAAAAACAGAGGGTGACATGTTTTTAGTATTTCCCCGAGACACGAGGCGTAGATCAATAGAAGGAACGGTGATGGGGAAAAAAACTGAAGCCCTAAAATCCATTAATAACACACTCTGACCTTTATCTTTTGTGGCTGTAACGTGATGAAATTGATTTCAAATTGTCTCCTACACAACAGAAAAAGCAATAAGACGGGAAAAGATAACGCTTAAAATAGATCGCCGGTCAGACATTGTTGCAAAGTCCAGATGAGCATGGACACCCGCTGGGATCACACAGTCCTTTAGGTCAAAGTTGAAGTGGAAAGCAGCTCCCTGGTCTTCCGGGGCTGACCTCGGTAAGAAGAGACACCTTTGAGAAGGGGGGGGGGGGGAATTTCACACATGGCGGTCCAGCTTGGCCCGTGAACATGTCATTACCTCCCAGGCAACGGCGTGTTTGTCCACGCTGTCTGATGACACAGAGGGGTTTTTTTCTGAGAAACACCGAGCTCGTGATTGCATTTTTGGATTGAGGTCAATCCTCATTTTAAGCCTCGAATTTGATGACATTTTGGTGGAAGTTGACGGCACACTCCTTTTTCCCCGGCTCCTCTTTGTGTTCTAAGCTTTAACTCGATGACTTCTGGCCAAATTGCAGTCTAATTTGGAGCAGCCATGGCCTTAAAACAGGGGCTTTTAGCCACCGGACATCACCGGCTATAGCTTGCCGATCAATAGACATCCCTTCACTCATGCTTAAGGCACTGACGACATACTTAAAGCAAAAGTCAGAGAAATCTGAATTTATCAGAGCAAATTTATCAAAAACATTTTGATAAAGGAAATAATTCAGTGTGTTTTTCTTCCCATCACCCAGAAATACAAAGAGCAACAACTGAACAGCAACAACTGAAAGGAAGTTTTTCCTTGCCTGTGTCGCCTAGTGCTTGCTCATGGTGGGAATTGTTGGGTTTCTGTAATTATCTTCAGAGTAGGGTCTGACCTGCTCTGTTTGGAAAGCGCTGTGAGACAACTGTTGTTGTGATGTGGCGCAATATAAATAAAATTTAATTGAATTGAATTGAATTGAATATGAAACCTGCAAAAACAGTACGCTTTCAATCGATTATTTAGTTGTGAAACTCACCGTCCCCGGTGCATGATTTCCTATCACAGTGACAGACAGGAATGGTGGAGTACTTATTTGAGAGTGCTGATTTGAGAGCTTTATTGTCTTTAGACTGCCTATATCTGGATAAAGACAACCCCAGAGTGATTGCATTAGGCTGATGACCCAGCGTTAAGACTTTTGCCTTTACTGAGATCAGACAAAGGTTTAGTGGTGGCAAAAGTATTTAAATGGTCGACCGACAGCCGTTACACACGTCGGTGAAATGGACAGACATCCAAAGGCCAGCAGATAGAGGGATAGTAGCAGTGTCAGCTGTAATCCTTGTGTCTAAATAAAGGATTACCCTCCACCTTAGAAAGTGCACCGCTCCCAGCTGCCACATTAGCAGCAGAGAGGGGGGTGCGCTGCATTTTAGATCCACAAAACCAACACAGAATTCTTTATACCTGTGCCAAGAAGGTTATGTGGTTAGCTCAATTAGTTGTTTTTGAGTACGGGATCTCAGAAAAAACACAGCTAAAGATCACCAGGTGTAGTCTAGCATCAAGAATAGTATAATACTTTGTCTTTTCTTTTTCTTGAAACCAGATATAGAAGCAACAAGTATTCTGTTCAGAAGCTTTTTTTGTTTTTTTTAAAGCTCATGCACAGTGTCTACAATCCCTTTTTTTCTGGCAACTCTGCTTTTT